CCTTTACCAGAATCGTCTGCTGAAGATATTCTACGACCTTACCTTGATGCCACGCTTGCACTAACATCGGAACCAACCTCAAAGACTTCTTCCCAACCGACCACCTCTGACTCCCCAACACCAGCAGCACCATCCGACACCATACCCACACCTCCACAACCACAACCACTATTCACCTCATTCTACATCGAACATCCCACCACCCCACCCCAACCCCCATCAGATCCGGATTCGCATCACCAACACCACCAGCCATTCATCGTCCCCTCCACCCTCTCTCCAGTTTACCCTCTCCCCGATCAACCAGACGCAGCCGCAACCTCTGCAGAAGCTATATTCTGGGAAACGGTCAATCTTTTGAAACAAGCAGGGGTAAAACCTACGAGAAGGCGGGGTTTGGGTGGTGATGAGGTTCTTGGTGAAGGCGAGGAGGTTGAGGGAGAGGTTGAAACTGAGATTGATGCCTTTTGGCCCCCGATAGAAGTTGAGGGTGACGAATCGGGAGCGGAGGATTGATTGATTTATGTTATTACGCCTTCAGAACTCTTGCTACATACCGGATTTTCATGCATGTCGCGTCATTTCCAAGTTAACGTTATCTTTAATCAGGTTGTTCTTCCCCGACCAATGACTATCTGGCAAGATGGCCGAGCGGTTAAGGCGTGTGACTCAAGCGTAGCTTACCTGCATTCGCGGGTTCTCATCATCGTAAGATGGCATGGGTTCAAGTCCCATTCTTGTCATTAATTTTCCATCTACCCATCCAGGAAACCCTTTTTTCACACTCCATTCACGATCCACTGTAAGTATACGACGGAGGTACGCATGTTCAAAGAACGAACACCAAGGCAAGATGGCCGAGCGGTTAAGGCGTGTGACTCAAGCGTAGCTTCTTACCTGCGTTCGCGGGTTTCTCATCATCGTAAGATGGCATGGGTTCAAGTCCCATTCTTGTCATTTTTGAGCTGAATCGACTTGGAAACCAGGTGTGAATTTTATATGGCGACAAGGTAACATGGCGGGCCCAACGTTTTAGGTATGCAAATCGCTGGGAAGTGATCGAAGTTACGAAATATTCGTTTAGCTGCATGGTATCTATTCACTTGACTTCAGTATGAACCAGTGCTGACGTCGAAAGGACATTTTTCTACAGTGCTCCTTATTAGACCGTCCTCGCAGTGAATAGATAATCCCGGGAAGTTACATTTCATAGATTGGGAGCCTGTAGACCAGGTAGAATCTGGTGGGACCAAGGACAAAACAGCCCGAAATGTTTTCCAATCTGCATGAATTTCCCGAAAGCCCAGGAGTCCATTAAATACCCTTTGGGCTCGCATAATGGTCCAAGGTCGTAAGGGTTCAACCGCGTCGAAAACTCCAACGTCTAGCCATTTAACGGTCGGATATGTCCAATACGTGATTTCTGGCCTCTCGAACAAGGGACATTTATCTTGTTCAATAACCAAGTGCTCTAGAACGGGACATGCCTCGAGAAGATCGTGTACGTCGCTCCATATGAGATATTTGGTGGGCACTAACTGAAGAAAACGTATCTCTTGTCCGTTCTCAACCAGGAAACATAGTAATGCAATTCGGAGGCTTTCGCTATGAATAAATCGTAGTCGAAAAGGATTGAAAAATGTGAATCGTTGCAAACGAGGTGCTTGTATGACGTTGATTATAGGAGCTAATTCAAGAATCTGGTTAGATTGGGTCTCGACAATGAGCGCTTCTAGACGTGGAAAATGATATTGGATCCCCTCGTCGATGATCGGGGACCAATTGCTAGCAAATATGGAAAGAGATATTAGGC